TCAGATACAAAGCTGAAACATCCATTATTTAATTAAATTGCTACTGCTCTGATGTGCTTCTTTCCTATATTCTAAGCAGTATGAAACTCTATAGTGTATAGGGGAAGCCAAAGAATTCCATACGATATATTAAAACGTTAAATTACTGTAAGAGCATTGAACTACAGGATAATGTGATACATTGAAGCCTTTGTAAATACCCGGACGTACAGTGTATAAGCTGAATAGATCTTGCTTCACCCTTCAAGATTGGGAACACAGTGACATGTTTATTTAAATATGATGAAAGCCAAATTGAGAACGTATGCATCTGCGCATATTGCAATATGGCTGCACTATGTATATATTTCCTATACCAAGCCTTGGACAAGTTTAGGAAGTTGCTTGACGCTACAGAAATGCCAATACAAACCGAACAAACGCTATATTTTTGACGGGTTTTCGTGCTTTGTATCAAGCCGCGAATGCATGAGTGTTTGACAATGCTTTATACTTTGCATTTTAAACCATTTACTTACTTGCATTTTGACTTGGAATATCGATGTGCACGCTCGTTGTCTTCAATTGAAAACGTACTAAAACGTACTCGGTTGCAAATTAGAAGCCAAGAGGGTTTAATTTCTGGAAGAAATCCGATATGCGAAGATATCTAAATAATACAACCAACCGTAGACGCTGATTGACGATAATCTGACATCATATTGACATTCGATGCTATATTTGTTGCAATATATTGTTCACGTGAAATCTCAATACCACCATGAATGCGTGACTTTCACGTGCAACATGTACAATTCGTGATCGAACATGCATTAATTCCGTTTTTGGGCAGTGTTCTGCATTAAAATAATATTAGAATGCAAGGTGTGATACAGTCTACAAAAATATTGTCACAAAGTAAATTTTTGACTCGTTTTCCAGTAATATATTGACCTGTTGATTCTCGAAACTTCAAGTGGTGTGAGGCGTGACGTCAGAACATGCCACTTTCAGTTTATATTCAAAATTATTAATAATGCTGATAAACAATAAAAATGCTGACACAGTGATTTTATAAATACTCCCCCACCCCCAGGTTTTTTGTCACCGGCGGCTTCACCTAGCTGATGACTTATAGTAATGTATATTATAGTAATGTATTTCTAATTTTTGACAAAATTTCCTTGCACTAAAGTTGATGAATTTTAACTAGTTTAAAACAATTTTTGTCTGTCTTGTGCATTATCTTGCGCATTCTGAGTTTAGGGTCAGGGGTGAAGACCAGCAGATTAGGGACCGATCGTTTATTACGTCTCAGGGGGGGGCGGTGGTTTTTGAGGGGGGGTTAATTTTTTAAATATGGCTATTTTGGGGGGGGTAGTTTTTTGTTTCCCGAAAGGAAAAGAGGGGGGGTTAAATTTTGAAATTGCAAACGATTCTTACATATTAAAATGACTTTATTTGGTTTATGAGATGAAATTCAAAATATATCTACCATTTTGAATTTGAAAAAAAGAAAAACAAATACAAACTAATCAAGCAAGATTGCGCCATTGTGTGCAACTTTTGCATAGAGAAGACTGGAATCTAGTTCTTAGCATTCAACTCTTTATAGTTGAAAGTTTAGTTCAATGGTTTTTAGGGCCTGTTCATATGATCCCGCTTACCGGGACGTCTCGCTTACCGAGACGAATATTTCCGTGCGTTCATATGGAATATTTCGTCCCGCTTGCCGAGATGAAATTACATTGTAGTTCTATAATTAGCGTATGCAAAACTTCTACATTTCAGTCAAGCAACACAAATACTTGGCGATTTTAGTGTTTTTCTTCGTTTATTTACAAGAAAAAGTATTGCTTCAGGTGGTTATTTAATACTTGTTTACAAAACAAACATAAAACCAAGTAAAAAGTGTTAAATTAAACCGGCAAGACTTGTTTCACTTCATCCCGGTAAGCGGGCTGGCGTGTTCATATGGAAAAATTTTCATCCCGCCTACCTATGATCTCGGCAAATTCAAACGAGATCTCGGCAAGCGGGCCAGCTCGCTTTCTCATATGAACGCAATGCAAAATTTTATAGGAAAATAGATAGGCGGCGAGATCATCGGTAAGCGAGACGTCCTGGTAAGCGGGATCATATGAACAGGCCCTTAGTGACTCCGCTGAACGGAATGATTGCAGTCAATGGTTTACACTTAAAAAAAACATGGCGGAAAATGTTTCAAAAAAGGTATTTTTATCTACATTTTATAATAATATATAAATATTATTGCATTTTTACTTTTACATGTTTATATCATTCATTAATATGATATTTTTGTATAACGTTTTCCTGTTTTGTATTGAATGCCAAAATACGCAATCTTGCTTTTATATATGACTCGATATTATATTGAATTAGCAATTTCGCGAGGCCTTATAATTTGAATATTTGATGCACTGAGGTTTGATGCCTAGAAATGCCTAGTGCAATTGGGGGGGTGGGGGGGTATATTTTTAAATTTTAATCTATATAGTTGAACAGGGGGGTCATTTTTTCATTTCCAAAAAATATGGGGGGGTGCATATTTTATTGATAATGTTTTAAAAAAAACCACCGCCCCCCCTGAGACGTAATAAACGATCGGTCCCTTATAGAGATTCATGTCTAGCTGTTTATGAATGCTGAGTTATTGCTGACCCAAATCCTTACCCTGATCAGGACAAAACAGCGAGACGTGAATCCATATCCCGTCTTCGTTCTTCTGCCTTCGTTCACAACGTATATTTTGGCAAAATTCGTTGTGAACTTTGTTCCAAGCGAAGGCAGAAGGACAAAGACAGGATATAGTTTCATGTCTCGCTGTTTTTTTCTGGGTCAGGCGAAGAATTTATAGGGTCAGTATTCATAAACAGCGACACATGGGAAGGCACGTTGAGCAACCACCAGTGATGTCCAACTCAGTATGCGTAAAATAATGTGCAGACGCTAAAAAGTGTCAAGCACGTCTTCGTACTTCGTTGTCTTGCTCAAACTCTCTCACAGGGGGCTTGACTTTTGAGGTCATCCCTCCGAAATTTTTCAGGATTTCCATTCCCCAGGATAGGATTTTCGACATAAGCGAATTTGCTTGGAAATTGCTGTAATCTTAGAATTTATTAGAAATAACGTAATATCCTTTTTATTTCCTTCCTGACAACAAAATTCCTTGCCATTTCCTTGTAAATTTTATTTCGTAATATAGATATATATATACCGAATACATTTCCTTGCAAAGGGATTTGCAAAGGCCAAAATTTCCTTTTGCAAGGACATTTCCTTGCAAATGGAAGCAGCTGTCAGCAGATGTCAGACGACAAGTCGATTATGGTGCAAAAGGCAAGAATACAAATCTTAAACCACAAGCAAATTTTATGGACTTTTTCAAAAAATAAAAGGCCTTTTCGGTAGACGTAATGCACTAATGGTGCAAATCTATGACTAGGAGTTACTATCGCAAGGAAAGTGTTGCCTTTTTGGCGTATGAACTGAATGCAAAAATTTATACTTCTAGACAGTTCTCGGTTATACGGCCCAATGTTTCCTTCTCGTTCATCATTTAAGCCTGTTCATAAACTCATTCTTAAATTGTGTGCACGGAATACGTCGAGTAAATAGTCAACATGAAAATGAAGCCATTGGGTCAAAAGCAGATATTAAGGTCTATTAACCTATTAGCTGCCAATGCACACTACTTTAGTATTAACTCTGACTAACGCCAGACGATTTTACTTGTTAGTGGCAGAGTACTGACAGTAAATGGGTTAACAAACACATCTGCCAATGTCTCTTATTAACCCATTAACAGGCAATGCACCCTGCTTTAGTATTCTTTAGTAACTCTTCAGAATTTGCTCAGAGTCAATGTGAGTAAAATACATCTTGTATTCAAGCGCTTTCATGTACAAAGTTTCGTTTGAATACGGCACAGAGTAGGAATATTTATTTTGAAATTTTCAAAATATCGGGGTTTTACTGGGGTAATTGCACGCACTTTTATACCTCGATCGATGCACGTGCAAATAGTCATGCCGACCTACAGAATCGATTTCCGCTTTTTCCTAACAGCGCGTTGTTTTGATGTACGTTCCATGGGCCGCGCTAAAAATATAAATATTCTGTAAATACCGAAATAAAAGATGAAAACCTCAAGACACAAGCTTGAAAATAACACTATAAATAGTGTTTTCGATTCTGGTTCCAATAATATTATTACGAAAAAGATATGTCCTAAGGGGCCAAAGTTATGTTCGGGAAAATATATGGCTAGTTTACATTGTTTGTTATATTATGAAATATAAGTCGACCTCGAACGAAATGCGCTTCTTCGAGGTCGACTTGTGGCAAGTCTAGCAAATGAGAACCATACAATAATGGTTCTAGTTCTTGTTGGTATTTTGAACGCACGCTTTATCTTTAGTATAGCTACCACAAAGCTTTTCGCGCGGATTATATTTCGCACAGTACTAAAATTTCAGCGGCCAGCGCTACGCGAATTCTCTTAATTCTAGTACTGCGCGGATTTTAATACATGTATTTAAAGGTATATTGTCGACATTTGACTAAAATTATCGTAAGGAATTAGGAGAGTTTGTCCTTGTTTATATTCCAATATATTGTATAAATTCGCTGCCTCGCTGGGTACAAATTTATGATTGTATAAATTCGCTGGGTCCAAATTTTGTGGTTTTCGAGTCGTTACTCAAAGAAAAACACATTAATTCAACACGCAAGAAAGTCCAGAGTACGACAACGTAAAATCCATAAGAAACCGGCACAATTCTTTGAAAATTCAACGAGACTGTGTAAAATATAGTTTGATCACTCTGTGAAAAGCCGCCATTAGAGTTCGGAATTGTGCGCGTGCGTACAAGTGTATGGGCTAATAAACGAAAAATGTACCACAAGCATGGCATGAGTCGGCTATTACGTACATATATGCGAGCTTATTACTATGCTATCTAAATCATCGAACCGAGGGAATCGATGGCATTTTGGCTTAATCGTTGCACCTTGAGCCTGCGATGAGCTAACGCAAACTCGATTTCTCGACTACGAAAAAAACAGAAAAAGGGGGATTTAAGACACTTAGCCTACAGGCCAGTGTAATGATAATCAAAATGGAATAGAAGCAAATCTGCAAATGGAAATTCTACCAGACCTTGTACTGCTGAAAATTGCCGAATATCTTTCGCCAGCTGAATGTGTTCGATTGTCGTTGACATGCAAGAGATTTTGCGGGCTTCTTCCTCAGTACGTGCGCTTTCTTGGCGAAGACGGTCCTTATAGCCCACACTGGGCACCAGAATTTTACTTTGATGGCCCAGATTTGAAAGGAAAAGTAAAGCGTTTTAGAGCGTCTGCCGAGTGGAAAGACCAGGGCTGGGGCAATATGAAAGGCCAGTTGATCTTGAAGCTTATGCGACGTGATTCAAGGCAGAACATGGTTATTGCTGAAAATACTAATATATTTGGTATAGCAGGGCATGATTGGGCAAACTCTGCATGTGTATTGGTCACTCATCCTGTTGTCAGGCTGGCAGAACCGGGAGACTTTTACAGATTTGAAAGAAATGCTGGTGGCGGTGGTGGACATTCCTTGTTTGTGAGAAAGTTCACTGTTTTGCTGGAATTTTTGAGTAATAAATTATAAAGCATAAATTAATTATTTAATTCTTATAATAGGTGTCTCGCATGTGATGTTGAAACATTCTAAAATGAAAGCTACACAGCTGGTTGTTTTTATGTTTCATATGTTGTTACTGTGAGTATTCACCTGAAACATTTCGGATCAGGACAATATTTTTGTCATCAGTTATAGGAGTTTTGAAAAAATATTGCTGATATCAGCATATTTACTTTCAAATGTAGGCCGTATTTACTCGTTTGAGCGCTGCCCCCGAATGAGCGCCGCCCCTGAATGAGCGCCGCATTTGAGATCGAATTTTTTTAAAGAGCGCCGCCCCCGAATGACCGCCACACTAAACAGTGTAAAAACTTTCCACCGTCAAAATGGGAACAATGAACATTTATTGACAAAGACATTTAACACATGTTTATTTTATTGTTAAAAGTTCTTCTTATAATTTACAAATAAAAGTTTTTTTAATGAGCGCCGCCCCTGAATGAGCGCTGCATCTGAAGCTCTGAAAATTCAAAGAGCGCTCAAACAAGTAAATATGGTAACGACATTAACCGATCGTGCACACAGATATTTTTGTCACACTAACCCTATAGAAGCTGGTTGTACTGCACATAAAATTGATTTAAAAATGCTTATTTAAAACTCTGTTTGCACATGTGATCAGCTTTATTTACATTTTTGTACCTAAATAGTCAGGCAGATAGAGGACCAAAATTATGGAAAACTTACCATATCTTGGGACAATTCCATTTTGTCTTCATATTGTGCCCTGAAGGCTAATAAATATGTTTCTGTATGTTGGCTGCGTTAAAATTTCTTGTGGGATCCTGCCGACACGTTTTTCTTCGAATTTTGTATTTTAAACTCTATTACAGTTAAAAAATGTGAAATTTCCGATACATTTCTAATACAAATGACTTGCATCAATAGAAAGCTAACAAAAAACTAGATATGAAGCATTTAAATGGTTAGTTGGGATTTTCAAGCGGTTTTCGAGTTATTGCCGTTTCAAATGTGAAAAATAAGCCAAAATCTCGCAAAATTGCTGGGTACTAGTCTGAAAACACGCATTCAACAGCTCATAACTCAAGAAGAACTTAAAAAACCAGCGTAACCGTTTAAATGTCTTATATGTAGTTTTTTGCAAGCTTCCAAATGATGTAAGGCGTAAAAAAAAATACCTGTGGTTCCGGTTCCCGACCGACCCTATTTTTTTCTGCCGACCCTATTATTTTTTCAACGTAATTGACCGTGCGACCCTATTTTCTCCAGGTGGTTGCGGGCTGCTCATACAGTGTGCCAAAATGGCGTCTGTTGTCACACTAATTATTGAACCAAATTGCTTAAATTCGTCCATAGGAAATACGCATCTCTAGTTAATATTGATGTCGGGACTCTACTGCAAATCGCCCAGCAAAAAACCGCCAAAACCATGAAAAAATATTTTAAAAAAAATTATTTCCGACCTACCGACCCTAATTTTTTCACGATATGAAACCGGTGTCCCCAGCAGATTTCGACCCCCCCCCCCTCAAAATGGATCCCGCGGTCCAAATCCGCTAGCGAATATGGTCCGGGGAGTCCATATCCGCTAGCGAATATGGACCAATGGGGGTCTTTATTCGCTAGCGGATTTGGACTCCCCTCGCGAATTTGGACCCCTCGCGTATTTTGTAATTGCAACGTATCGTATTTTGAATATTGTACTGAAAGCGTTTTAAATCGTCATAAATCTCATCTGATTTATTTTAAAAACCGTACGAAGATTTTTAGATCATCAAATCTTAGATTTTTAGATTAGAGAATTCCGTCAAAGTGTATGATTTATAATTTTTCTGCTTGCGAGAACTGAGAAGCGCATGAAGCCTTCACAAGTATTTTACTCCTTGGAATTGCTATCTGCTCTGACTCTTAACTGCTCAAATAAAAACGGAAAATGAAAATATATTTCAAATTATTTTTGGTTTAACATACCCATAACAAAGTGATGCATTCCATGCGGGGTCCGAATCCGCTAGCTGATAATCCATATCCGCGGGGAGTCCAAATCCGCTGTGACACCGGAACCACAGGTAGTTTTTTTTACGCCTAAGTCATTTGTGTTAGAAATGTACTTGAAATTTCACATTTTTTAACTGTAATAGAGTTTAATATAACATTCGAAGAAAAACGTGTCGGTAGGAGCCCACAAGAAATTTCAATGCGGCCAACATACAGAAACGTACTAACTAGCCTTCAGGGCACAATATGAAGGCAAAATGGAATTGTCCTGCGATAACGTAAGTTTTTTCCTTTTATCTGTCCGACTAAAATAATGAACTTTATAAACAAAGTTGTGACAACTTTATCAGGGTTCGTGCAGGCCGCCAACAAAACAATTTAAAGGCCTTTCAAGGACTAAAAGTTTTCAAGGATTTTTCCAGTGTCTTACAAGCAGAATACAATCCAAATATAGTAAATAATAATTAATATCAAAGTCGCTTCGTTCACTGATCTTCCCATCACTGCATGCCACCGTGGCTGTCAACACATGGACAGGGAGCTGTGAAATTCCTCAGTTTTTCCTAAAATTCTGCTACCGAAATTGCATATATGCTTCCTCCCGCCCAACAAGCGTGTCGTTATATTTTCATGTCAAAATAGCGGCCACATTTAGATTTTACATCACTGGCTCAGTAACATCTGACTGGTTAACTGGGTAGATTTTCATTACGTACAAACAGACACAAACTACATAAATTAAGTCTAAATGGTTCATACCAATAAAGTAGTTTTTGGAAGCTTTAAAATTCCCTTGGAAATCTTAACAACTTGCAATTCCCTACAAGAATCCCTAAAACCATACAAAATTCTTGTTTGTAAGGAGAAATCCCTGAAAACAAGAGCACTGTACATTGAAAGAGATATAGAGCATATTGAAGAAGTTGGTGCTATCAAAACTGTGCACAGTGGTCTCTGCTATTTTACTTATTAATTAATATTTGTACGATTTTCAAGCACTTTTCTGAAGGTCTTTTAACAGATTTTGTATTTTCAAGGGGTTTTCAAGTTAAGCGCTTTTCAAAAACCAGCACGAATCCTGTTTAATCAAGGTAATATAGCACAATCAGGCTTTGCAAGAACACACAACCCAGTTAATTAAACTATATGTATCATGATCAGGAGGCTCCAATGTGTGCATTTGCTGTACAGATTCTGCATCTTTAAGGACTACTGCATTCTACTGCATCTTTAAGGTTAAGACATCACTTCTAATCCAACTTGAAAAAGAATGAAAACATTTTGAGTAAAACTTGCCCATTTGATGACAGAGTTGTGTCAAATTTGCCATTTTTGTGCACACTTGTGGTAACAAATACATATGAAACAATATGAAACAACCAGCTAATATCTGCCCCCTTCTATGAGTAAAAAATTCCTGCCTTTTTATAGAAAAGTACATATAAGAAACCCACCCCCTCTCCTTTTGAAGCCCTTTTTTTCTGTTTCAAAGCAAATAAACTAATGTGTAATAAACTATTGAATTTATTATTTGGGTGCAAGTACATTGGGTAGTAATTATTGATTCTACCTTATTTTTAGTTATGTACGGAATAGTATGATTGACGTTTGCATAAAAGAAACATTAAGAGCATGTTGATGGGGGGTCGTTTTATTATTAGATTATGTGAGACGAGACAAAACAAAACAAGTGAGTTGTGAGCGTGAGAATTATATATTTTTATACAAATAAATGTAATTTGTCTTTGTGATTTCCGTGGTTATATACCTGTTAACAATTTAACAAGAGAAGTTCGGTATAGTTACTTGACCTTTACCCTCCTATATGTTAAGTTTCCCCTGACCAATAATCTCCCTGAAACATGTCTGAAATACCCGAACCCCATCTGCTCTAATGCTCTATAGTATATATAGGGAATTTATGGAATTATGGTATATGTAATTATCTTGCAATTTCCCTTAAGACTTAAGTATTTGTTGTGAACTTTTCGCAATACAAAGACACGGACAATGATCTAAGACTAAGGTTTATTTCATACAAGTTTTAATACATTTTTATTGTATTATTTGGCTGTCAAAATAGTTGTTGTTCCCTTTTGTCCTCGACTTTCGATCGTATGATTAAAACAAACAACATGTGATCAAAATTAACATTTAACAAATAAATAAAACATTTTCCGTGTTGATATACAGTTATATCAACACGAGTGGAATTGGGAAACGAGAAATTGCATGGAAACACGACGCCCGAAAGGCGGTTTTCCCAACTTCCACGAGTGTTGATATAACTATATATCAATACGGAAAAAATGTTTTATATTTTTTTTATAATATAGCATTGTCAAAAGCCCGAAGGATATGAAAAATTTCCCTGTTTACAAGCGGCGGAAAATTTCCCATGTTGACATTGAGTTATATCAACACGGCTCTTAGCCAATCAGCGTTCAGAATTTACAAATGCTATATTATAAAATTAAATATCAAATAATTAGCATGTATTATGCAGTTCTATTAAAATGTCAAACACTCCTCCCCAGTACGGAAAACGTTAAGAGCTCAACGTTTGAGCAACGAAAACTACTGTCCATATGCCTGTCTTTTCAGTGTTTTTTAACTGTGTTGTACTAAAGTTTCATTCTGCTCGAGCTCTTGTCCGGTTGCAATGAGGCATAACTTCGCTATGGGTCTTTCGTAGACTCCCTTCGACGTTCTAATCTATACTTTACGAACAAGATTATCACCAGGAAATACGTCTTCCACCAACGCCAATTCCCACCAAAGGAAGAGGGCACCACGGTCCATATCCTAATTCTCCCGCATCTGAGAATCCATGGAGCTGTGGACTTCCCACCGAGGTTTCAGGCTTTAGGCACCTTTCCAGGTGGGTACCTAGAAGGGCGTTCATAATCGCGACATTTTTTTGCCATTTGAACTTTTCTTCAGGTGGCCATAACTCATCCCACTGATAACCAGCGGCCCATAGATTCTGGAGATCAATTCGAAACCGAATTGTAACTGGCGCCATCAGTCCTAACGGATCCCACAGTTGAGACACCGCACCAAGAGCATTTAGTCGGGCAGATAGAAAGAAAAAACTTACGTTATCGTGGGACAATTCCATTTTGCCTTCATATTGTGCCCTGAAGGCTAATTAGTGCGTTTCTGTATGTTGGCCGTGTTGAAATTTCTTGTGGGCTCCTGCCGACACGTTTTTCTTCGAATGTTGTATTGAACTCTATTACAGTTAAAAAATCTGAAATTTCAAATACATTTCTAACACAAATGACTTACATCATTTGGAAGCTTGCAAAAAACTACATATAACACATTTAAACGGCTACCCTGGTTTTTAAGTTCTTCTTGAGTTATGAGCTGTTGAATGCGTGTTTTCAGACTAGTACCCAGGAATTTTGCGAGATTTTTGCTTATTTTTCCAGTTTGAAACGGCAATAACTCGAAAACCGCTTGAAAATCCCAACTAACCATTTAAATGTTTCATATGTAGTTTTTTGTTAGCTTTCTATTGATGCAAGTCATTTGTATTAGAAATGTATCAGAAATGTCACATTTTTTAACTGTAATAAAGTTTAATACAAACTTCGAAGAAAAACGTGTTGGCAGGAGCCCACAAGAAATTTTAACGCGGCCAACATACAGAAACATACTTATTAGCCTTCAGGGCACAATATGAAGACAAAATGGAATTGTCCCACGATATGGTAAGTTTTCCATTATTTTGGTCCTCTATCTGCCTGACTACTTTCGTTTCGTACAATAACTGAGATCTGTATACACTGTCTCGCTCTTCAAAGCAATGCTATCAGCTTTCTTATTTCATTGATGACCCAGTAGACTCACCGGATTCTCGTTGCCATCTTGATCAATCTCTGGGCTGTTGCTGTGCCACGCTTTGATGGCAAACTTGCCTTTGCCCAAAATGGTATCGATACCATCGACCACTTTCTTGACTTTCTCTGGTGATGTCTCCGACCCCGCGACGTCATCAACATAAGTATTATCCTTTAGGATTCTTGCTGCTTCTGGTGATTTGACTTGAGCTCTATCAGCGATCGAGAAGATTCATGGCAGGCTCTCTGTCAGTTTCTCCGTCTCTCCACAAGAATATGTGGTATTTCTGATCATCCGGATGGACAGCTATCTCATTAAACATCTTCGAGTCGTCTCCAGCAAAGGCGACTCCATTCTGTCTCCAGCCGATCAACACATCAAATAAGGAATTCATAAGACATGGTCCTTTTTCAAGAGCATCATCGAGGGAAAGTCCGTCCATTTTGGCTGCTGCATCGAAAACTAATCTGCACTTGGTCGTCTTGTCGGGACTTTCCACTTCCCCAATCGGTAGATACCAAGCCGGCTCCTCTGGGTCTACTTCCTCTTGTTTCAGCTTAATGACCACTTCCCTGTCGACCAAAGCTTTTACTTCCTTGTTAAACACCTCCAACTTTCCTTTCTTTACCAGCTGCCTTTCTTTCGACACCATTCGTTCGAAGGCGACAGACCGGTTGTTAGGTAGATTGGGATGTCCTGGTTTCCAAGGCATTCTTACTTCAATTATCATCCAAAACTCTAGTAGACTCCCGAACATGTCGAATGAATGCACATTCTCTCATTTCCTTCTCAGAGCATGTACAGGAACTTCAATTTTTCAATTGGAAAATCAATTTCTTTATGTCCTGGTTTCGACAGCAAAAATTCCAGGTGTACTATTCTCTTCAAGATTACAAAAGCCTGACCAGCCAAAGATGTTCTTCTTTGCAATCGGTTCACCAGGGTTACCCGCCAGGGGCCGGTTGTACGAAGGCCAGATAGCGCTATCCACCGGATAGAGATTTTTCAAGCTTTGTTAAATCAATCGTTGATTGGTATAACTCGTATTAAAGTTTACTATTTATAAATTAAATGTTTTTTATACTTCTTTTGTCGTCTATATCCGTTGTTTCACAGTTTTTCAAGCATTTTACAAAGGTTGAAAAAGTCACTATCCGGTGGATAGCGCTATCCGGCCTTCGTACAACCGGCCCCAGAACTTTAAAATCACGATGGGCTTCCGGTAGATCTGTTACCAATAGAATGTCCACTGGACCGCCATTTAAATGTAGATCTTCTACAATTCGAACAAGGTGAGGAAATCTGACTACCGCTTTCTTTGAAATAGTTTTGGCTACTTGGCACGGTTGCTTGACTGAATAAGCTCTCACATTGAATACAATATCTTCATCATAACATGGCGATATCTTTAAATCAAACTCAGCAGAATCTTCAACTTTAATTCCACCGCCTGCAACATACATCTTCATCTTTTTTGTTTCTCCGACCAAACCGAGCTTGTCCGCAAACTCTTTCCGAATGAGACTCTTATTAGAACCACTATCAACCATGGCAAGTCCCTCAATAGAGTTCCCATTGGCACTGTGCACTTTGACCTTTTGAGTTGGTACATTTGCAGTTCCTGCATTACCAGCTGAAATAGCACCAACCTGATTGGTCTGGTTTGAATGGTTGTGCATCAGGGTTCAGATTGCCATTGTCCATTTGTTTCGGATCTTTATGCAATAAGTAATGATGTGGTCTTCCACAACTGTTGATATCACATGCCTTTCGCGAACACTGTTGGTGTCGGTGTCCAATTCGCAGACATTTTTTGCATCTCTTGGACTGAATCACCACTTCCCACTTTTCCTTCACTTTCATCTTCTTAAATGCTGGACAATAACCTAAACCATGTTGTTGGGAACAACCCAAACCACAACCAGGGGCACCATTGTAACCACCGTCCACATTAACTGGATAAATCCCAATTTTTGAAGAGTGTTGATCCGATTGCTTACTTGCCATTATTTTTGCCTCTTCTTCTACTCCAACAAGGTATGCAGGCTTTCACTCGCTTAATATGTAATGTAGCGAGGCACCGTAAATAACACACTCGGTTTTAACAGTTTATTTTATAATTTCTTACATGTGCAACCTTCTCTCTCAGGGTGCACGCTCACTCTGACTAGATTTCATACAGGGTGTATCAAAAAAAGTAAGACAATTTTGAAATTGCTCTCAATTCCACAATTCTGTTCATGAAATGTAATTTTTGCTATATATGGATAACACCGCGGAAAAACGTCTGCGCATGCGTCAACCTTACCTGTAATAGTATTGCGAACTTGATGAGAAGTAGCCTCCTGCGCAGACGTTGTTAGTGGCCGAGGCCTCACCTAACGTCTGCTCACATTCGCTATACATTTGACTTCCCGGCAATTAACCAATCACAATCATCTACACGATAATTGGAAGATCGGCCTTCAATGACCTTCACACGCATGGGCTATATCAACAAGTCTGTAGTATTTTTAAATTTGAAAGTTTTAACACTGCGCATTAGAAAAAGGCTTTTCAGTCTATTATAAACGAAAAGGATGTTGTCGCAAATCTTACAACTGACGCAGGAAATCCCTTATTTATCACGCCGTTACCGAAGCTATTCGATGTAATATTCGGATTTAAATATTACCATTTGCATTCAAGCGTTACTCCACGCCGCGAAAACAAGTTGTTTACGAGTTTTGCAGCGAGCGTTTTGATCGGAAAACTTTACGTTTTACGTGCAAAACAATTATGGCACAAACAGGGGGCGTAACTTTGCTTTGCGTTCTTGCACTTCCGGATTGAGACATTACAGCCACTGATTACAGCGAGTACCAGTACAAAGTTATTACAGTATAAATATTATATTCATTTTAAATATTCTGGAGGAAACACAGTGAAGGTTAGTTTTTATAGTGAATACTATTTAGCCTACTGTTGATTTGAAGCTCGATTTTGATGTACGGTATCGGTGAAACGAGGACGCAAAATCAATGGACAATGGCGGATTTTCAAGAAAATCATTATTTTCAAAATAGGCCGTTTCAATTTTACTAAGTTTTCGTTCCAACTGTGTCTTTAAAGGTTTATAACTATATATTTTGAAAGCTTCAAATGCGTTTGTTTCCAACTAAAATGTAGGCATTTTCACAAGCTTTCAAACCATCCGCGTTGGGGTGTATGTCGTTAAATTTTGAATTAATATAAGCGGTTGAAACTCGTGCCTAAAGGCTAAAACCAGACATTATATAGAACATAAACATATGACATTTATTCGACTATATCTTTGCGAATATTAACAGGTAGAATAAATTTACGTATATTGTCAGATAGCTGGTGCAATCAGCTACATTTCGGTACAAGCTAGAATATTGTAGCTAGAATATTGAGCGAGAATTCGTTGCCTAAACGAGGGTGTAAAAATTGCCGTCGGAATACACATTCTAGTCGGACAATATAATGTCTGGTTTTAGGCACGAGGTTCAACCGCTTATATTAATTCGAAATTTAACGACATACAGTACACCCCCAACGCGGATGGTTTGAAAGCTTGTGAAAATGCATACATTTTAGTTGGATTTATATTCAGGTTAGTAGAAGATTCGCCGAGAAAATGTTCGTAACAAACTGTTGTTATGCCATGGAAATTCAAAAATATCTATTACATTTTCAAAATCTCGCCTTGCTGCGCATGTAAACAAACGCATTTGAAGCTTTCAAAATATTTAACAATTATTTGCCGAAGGCGAGGTGAAGTTATAAACCTTTAAAGACACTGTTGGCACGAAAACTTAGTAAAATTGAAACGGCCTATTTTGAAAATGATTTTCTTGAAAATCCGCCATTGTCCATTTGATTTTGCGTCCTCGTTTCACCGACACCGTATATCAAAATCGAGCTTCAAATCAACAGTAGGCTAAATAGTATTCACTATAAAAATTAACCTTCACTGTGTTTCCTCCAGAATATTTAAAATGAATATAATATTTATACTGTAATAACTTTGTACTGGTACTCGCTGTAATCAGTGGCTGTAATGTCTCAATCCGGAAGTGCAAGAACGCAAAGCAAAGTTACGCCCCCTGTCATAATTGTTTTGCACGTAAAACGTCGAGTAAAACGTAAAGTTTTCCGATCAAAACGCTCGCTACAAAACTCGTAAACAACTTGTTTTCGCGGCGTGGAGTAACGCTTGAATGCAAATGGTAATATTTAAACAAATTGTAAACATTGTAAACATTTAGTAATCGTGGTTTCGGTTGATACTGTAAATTCAATACGAGATCAAGTCAAAAAACTACACGATCTAGGAGTCAGTGCTGTGTCATTATTAAGTTGAATCGAGAGCGATAAAGAAGCGAAGGCATTGGAAGAATGGAAATATTCTGACTGTATTATATGCAGAGTTGAAGACCGAACGATGGAAACGAATGCTTCAACAAATTGTACGTATAGCAAAATGGTTTGTGCTTTGGCTGTTGATGCATAAAGCTCATGCGATTAAAGAATGGTATGTATTATAATAAATCCTAAAAATGTGTTCGCTTTTGTAATTCCCAAAGACACATGCAGGAATCGATCGGGCTTGGCCATTTTAATAGTCATTATTCATTAATATTTTATATTGTTTATTTAAATTGAATTTGTCTTTTTATACATTGCCTCGTATTATCTATTTGCATGTAGTACTAGCATGCAAGTTTATATGAGGGCAATTATGAAGGGTTTACATCAGAGGGTTGGGGCATGTATGATGTATATTAACTAGAATGGCTCATAAACTTGCTGGTGCTACGTGCAATAGATAATACGAGGCAACGTATAAATCAAGACAATATAAAATAACGACTATTAAAATGGTCAAAGCCGATCGATTGCTGTGGCTTTGAGAATTGCAAATGCAAACACATGTTTAGGATTTATTATAATACATACTGAAATGAGCTTCATGCATCAATAGCCAAAGCACAAACCGTTCTGCCATACACTTTGTCTTCAGCAATGACTCTGCTGTGCCATATAATACAGTCAGAATATTTCCCATCTTCCAATGTCTTCGCTTCTTTATCGCTCTCGATTAAACTTAATAATGACACAGCACCGACTCCTAGATCGTGTAATTTTTTTACTTGATCACGATCGTATTGAATTTATCAATGACGATTACTAAATGTTTACAATGTTTACAATTTGTTTAAATATTTAAATCCAAATATTACATCGAATAGCTTCGGTAACGGCGTGATAAATAAGTGATTTCCTGCGTCAGTTGTGAGATTTACGAAAACATCCTTCTTTTCGTTTATAATAAACTGAAAAGTCTTTTTCTGATGCGCAGTGTTAAAACTTCCAAATTTAAAAATACTACAGACTTGTTGATAATAGCACAAGAGTGATAATAACCCATGCGTGTGAAGGTCATTGAAGGCCGATCTTCCAATTATCGTGTAGATGATTGTGATTGGTTAATTGCCGGGAAGTCAAATGTATAGCGAATGTGAGCAGACGTTAGGTGAGGCCTCGGCCACTAACAACGTCTGCGCAGGAGGCTAGATGAGAAGCTGTTCCGAACGTTTCCAAAGGCTCAAAATGGCGGTAAAAAGGAGTGACTTCATTGTGCGTCTTTACAGCCAAATTTCGAGCGCAAAAATAAACATGTCATTCTAAAAACTAGGAATAAATACAGCCAGAAGATTCAAGAAATTGTATTGTACAAGAACATGAACTAAAGGTGATTGTTGACAAATTTATCGTCTGAAACATTTTGTTTATCAACTAAGCAACGACAATTTCCGAATTTTCGTTTGAGATACATTTCTTTAAAAAAAACTGTGTCGCCAAACATAAAAAATTTTCGTGTTCACAATAATTAAACTTTAGGATTTATTCTACAATTTGAGTGGGTTAAGAAGCTTAACTTTTCGAGAGTTTTCTTAACTTTTGAGTTTGAATTTTTGTTTTGAATAATTTTGCAAATATTTTCGAAGTCGTGTCCGTTAAAATCAACAAATTTTTACATGAATTATATTTCATTCCATACTTTAAATGCCAGGACGCTTTCAATTAATGTCTAGTCTACCCATTTGCTATATTTTCTCGTTTGTTTTACTAATTTTTGACCAATTAATAAATAATAAGCATGTTTTTGTTTTAGAAATTGATATTCAAATTCCCCGCCATATTTTCATAATTTGATGCATGCGCAGACGTTTTTCCGCGGTGTTTATATGGATTGCTTGAGTTCTTAAATTATGGAAAATATAAAAAATTTTGAAAATAGTAAATTTTGCTATCCAGGGGGGTGGTCAACTTTTGCTCCCCTAAAAGTGGCTTGCGCACGGATATAACAAACGGTATTCTTTATTTGAGTTCATGTATGAAAAGTTCGCTATTTGTTGCATTTATGATAAATTTTCGGCAGGATTTTACCGAGTACAAATCCTCCGAAAAGCCTATGAAAACGTTACATTTTTCTCTGTTGGTGCTGTTCTTGCTTCATTATGAATTCATTTTTACTCCCATGAGAGTTCCATGGAATTTCCATGGAATTTGTGCTTTCAAGTTGTTTGTGCTGAAACGCATTTTCTCGTATAATACCTCGTAAACTTTGAAATGGCGATGCCACAATTTACCCCGCAGCAGAGAGCTTTTATGGTATCAGAGTTCCTCCGTAGCAACAACATAAACTTGATTCGCCAAAGTTTCACGAAAGAATATCCAGATGTACGATGCCCTTCACGTGCGAATACGTGAAGGGCATCGTACATCTGGATATTTGTTCGTGAAACTTTGGCGAACCAGCTAGGTTTATGTTTTTGCTATGGAGGAACTCTGATACCATGCATAAAAGCTCTCTGCTGCGGGGTAAATTGTGGCATCGCCATTTCAAAGTGTACGGGGTATTATACGAGAGAATGCGTTTCAGCACAAACAACTCGAAAGCACAAATTCATTATGAAGCAAGAACAGCACCAACAGAGAAAAATGTAACGTTTTCATAGGCTTTTCGGAGGATTTGTACTCGGTAAAATCCTGCCGAAATTTTATCATAAATGCAACAAATAGCGAACTTTTCATACATGAACTCAAATAATGAATACCGTTTGTCATTTCCGTGCGCAAGCCACTTTTAGGGGAGCAAAAGTTGACCACCCCCCTGGATAGCGAAATTTACTATTTTCAAAATTTTTTATATTTTCCATAATTTAAGAGCTCAAGCAATCCATATATAGCAAAAATTACATTTCATGAACAGAATTGTGGAATTGAGAGCAATTTCAAAATTGTCTTACTTTTTTTGATACACCCTGTATAGCATGCCTGTTTTACATTACTTTATTTACAGTATCATGTTACACCATCCCTCAACAATAATATTCTTGCCCACAAGAATTGCAATTACAACTGTGTTTCCTCTGGGAGTATTACTACGCAGCAAAGCCGTACCGATCAGGCGGATGAACATTTTGCCTGAGATTCCTAGGCCTAACCCGTGGGATATGTGGAGCATTGTCGCAATTAGGTTGAACGTCCTCTGTGGTAGCAGTGCATGTTTGGCCAAAAGAAACGTTTCCTAATGCGATCTAATGCGATCTAATGTTCGTGTGACCCCTAAGTGCCCGGTGAATGGACTGTCGTGAGTACCTTTTAGTATTTCGGTTTCTAAAGCTTTGGGCACCACTATGACTGGATCTGGATGTGTACTTTTGTCTTTAAGGACCTATAAAGCAACTCATCTCTAACAAACAGTATATCGTATATAATGATGCCAGAATGTTACTAAATTGCGATCATGTCTCCATGCTGCTAGTTTGTGTTTTGGTGTACGGCTTGTTTTCATTTGGATAACTTTCGAAATACTCGGGTCGTCTTGCTGAGCTTTTCCTTAAGTTTATGGTCGGCCAAGAGTTATGGCACAATTACTATTATTATTATACATTTAATATGTATTCTCGTTTCTAATTGGTCAGAAAGCACCGGCTAATTTTCAGTATTCGGCATTTATTACGTATTTTCCGCCGATGACGTCATCAGCGTCCAATAATTGTTTTCCAAAAAAAATATTATTGGACTCTCTCGTGCCCAAGCCCTTGCGCGGCCAAAAGCTTGAACCTATAAGCGCGCGAGAAAGACAAACAAACAATGGCCTACAGCAGATTTGCTTCGCTGAATGAAAGTGAACTCTCCAAATTATTGGCAGATAAGGATAGTGAAAGCACGAAAAAAGCCACAAAGGGTTAAATAGAAGTAGAATATTTAGCTGACCTTTGACTTTGTGCAAGGTGTTGGATATTCAAATTGTACTTTTCCTACCTCATGAACAGGAATCGTTTTATACGTTTCTCAAGTCTTTAAATGTATAATAAAACAATTATTGGATTCGGCTTTCGCATGATATCAAGAATTATTCAGACCTCGGTCTACGTTATCCGCCTCAGCTTCGCTTCGGCAGATAACATTGACCTCGGTCTGAATAATTCTTGATATCATGCGAAAGCCGAATCCAATAATTGCTTGTTATATATCAATAGTCAAA